GCTGGCACCCGTATGTCTCTCCTCTGTCTCCGTGCCGCAATAGAATCCTGAACCTGAGCCGTCGGTCCCTGATCCTGCTCATGAGTACCCGTATCCTCCGCATCACCGTCGTGCTCGCCTGGCGTCACCTCAGTCGGCACTCTCATGGATACTGCACTATCTGGACTCTGTGGAGCTGCATCAATCTCCACCACCTGCGAAATCTCCTCTGTCGGGTTGCTCTCCACCTGATGAGAGCTGGGAAGCTTCAAGATAGAAGCCTCATCGAATGTGACGTCCCTACTCAGCACAATCTTCTTATCAACTGGATCCCAAAGCTTGTATCCCTTGACACCACGCTTGAATCCTACAAATATGGCCTTCCTAGCTCGAGGTTCCAACTTATCAGTTCTAACATGATAATATGCAGGGCAACCAAATACCTTAAGCTGGTCATAGTCATGTGCTGTCTCTCCCGACCACATCTCCATAGGGGTCTTCCCCTCAATCGCAGATGAAGGCAGCCTGTTAATGAGGTGGCTCGCATAAGAAAGTGCCTCAGCCCAAAAGATCTTCTCCAAACCACTATGCGCCAATAAACATCGAATCTTCTCCAGCAAAGACCGATTCAATCTCTCCGCCACCCCATTCTGCTGCGGTGTATGACTAACTGTGAAGTGCCTCTCTATGCCCTCGTCTCGACATAGCTGCAGAAAGGGGTCTGAGGTATACTCGCCGCCGTTGTCGGATCGCAACGTCTTGATCTTTCTCCCAGTCTGCAGTTCCAATCTCTTCTTCCACTCCACAAACAAATCTAGGACTTCACTCTTATGCTTCATGGTGTACACCCAACATCGCCTAGAATAGTCATCAACGAACGTGACGAACCAATGTCGACCACCAAGTGATGCCGTCTTAGTGGGACCCCAAACATCTGTGTGCACGTAGTCCAAGATGCCCCTCGTCCTATGAATGGCCGTCCCGAACTTCACCTTCGTCTTCTTGCCAAGTACACAGTGCTCACAGAATTCTACTTTACCACTCTTGGCTCCCTTCAAAAGCCCCTGCTTGCACAATGCCTGCAGTGACTTTTCACCTGTATGCCCTAGCCTGTAGTGCCAAAGTCTGCTCATGTCCGCCTCTGAAATCGCCGAAGCAACCTGGCCAATCTCGGTGCTCCCCTTCAGATAATATAAATTATGATTTCGGACTCCCTTCATCACCACCAAAGATCCCTTAGTAACCTTTGCTACAGCATCCTCAAAGGTCACCCTGAATCCCTTCGCCTCCAAAGCCCCCACTGAGATAAGATTCTTCTTAAGTTGAGGAACGAATCTCACCTCCTTCAGCTCACGGACTACTCCATCGTGCATCCGAATCCTCACAGTACCTATCCCACGAACGCCACAGGATTGATCATTTCCCATGACCACAACACCCCCATCGAGTCTCTCAAATGATGAGAACCAATCTCGCCTAGGAGTCACATGATAAGTAGCGCCAGAATCAAGCATCCACTCCGATGCATCCAAATGGTTCACCTCCGGAGTAATCAAAAGAGAAAAGCTCGAATCATCGGAATCATCGCCTTTCGCAACATTCACCTCATTGGCCTTCGGGCCCTTATTCTTGCTATTCTCCTTTTCTTTGACTTTCGGGCAATCTCTTTTCCAATGTCCCTGCTCCTTGCAGAATGCACATTGATTCTTTCCAAGCTGGTGACGACCTCTTGACTTTGACCTCCCTCTGTTTCCACCTTTCTGATATGAGCTTCTACCTCTCGCCGACAAGGCCTCTCCTGAAGTACTAGCGCGGGAAGTCTCCTTATCCTTCCTCCTCAAATCATAGTTCGTCAATGCGTTAGTCACTTCACTATAAGTGATAGAAGATCTCCCGTTCAGCAACGTAAGCACGAAGGTATCATACTCCTCATCCGGTAAGGAGCCCAAAAGAATAATAGCCTTGTACTCATCTGTGATCTTCTCATCCACGTTCGCCAAGTCCGACAACAACTTAGTGTAGTTGTTCACATGAGCCGCAAGCGAGGTACCTCTGGACATCTGGAATCTGAATAACCTTCGCAGCAAGTGCAACCGGTTCTCAACACTCTTCGTAAGGTACTTATTGTTGAGAATTTCCCACATCTTCATCGCAGACGTCACCCCAATCACATCGTATTTCAGCTCCTGTTCCAAACAGGACCTGATCACCCCGCAAGCATTTCGATTCATCTTTTCCCATATCGCCTCTTCATATTTAGGTGGCCTCACATCGACCATGATGGTCTCCTCCAGATTTTGAGCATTGAGCGCATCCTGTACGTCGCTCATCCACAAACCAAAATTGATCTTGCCGTCATATTTCACAACACTAATCTTAGTGTTCTGAAAACCCACTTGAACTGTGCCTGTCATCTTGCTGCTTTCACCAATTACTTCACCCATAATCACAACTTCCAAATTGTAGAGAAAGATCCAAACTTTGAAAGAATAAGAAATTACCCAACTGAACCCTAGATTGGATTCCAAATAGAACTCCTAACCACACGAGGAAAGCGAGATCTTCAACGGCAACTTCAAACCCTAACTCCACCAAAGCCTAGAACTCCAAGAACCAAGCTTCAAACTGAATCTTCCTCCACCTAATCCAAAACCCTAGATCTGAATCTGAGCTCTGATACCACTTGTCGCGCGCCTTTGCGGAAGCCTTGCACGAACTCACAACGAACCTGTGATCACGAGTAGAAGAAAGACAAACTCTTGCACAAATCCAACCAATAAAGCCAAATCAATCCAAACACAGAGATATACGTGGTTCGGCAATTTGCCTACGTCCACGGGGAGAGGATGGGGAGATTTCACTAAATCAAGGAGAGTACAAAGGGTTACAATCACACAAATTCTCTCAAACTAACCCTCAACCAAAGATCTCACCTTGCTCACAATATCTCCCTCTCACAATGCTCAAAAGATTCCTCAATCTCTGATATTTTAACCTCACAAATCGTTTCCCTATTTATACCAAAACAAAACCCCAATCAGACTGCAAATAGGAAACCTACGTATGCAAAAAACCCGTCGTAAGTCGACTTAACAGAGCTCACAAGTCGACTTGACAGAGAGAAAATCAACAACTGGAGAACACTTCATAAGTCGACTTAACAGTCATGCTAAGTCGACTTGACAGAGGCTAAAATCACAATTCGGCTGCAGATCGTAAGTCGACTCGTGCACAGTGCATGAGTCGACTTATGCCAGTTTTTCTGGTTTTTCTGATTCTTTTCCTGATTTCTCCACAAATATGTCATGAGTTTGGATGTGAATGTGCCTATTAATCATATATTTATTATTGAATAGCTGAAGCATCATCGCACCTCCAGTGTCCAGTTCAGCCTATTGCATTTATCAAGCACATTGTTTTAATCATAGATTATTAAAAAATTAATCAAAAAAACAAGGTCTTGGTTGTAAGTTCTTTTTTTTTAAGAAAAACTTGGCAGCAAGTTCTTGTTTCTTATAATACAATCTCAACCGAAAGAACATCTATAATAATCTTCCAAAAGTACCCAGCTGGCCACTTAAGTACATGTAACATGATTAATGACAACATTATACAACACATCATACATGAATAAATCAACCCGGGCCGCTACCCATCCTGCCCGAATTCGAATTCAAGCTACATAAATCGCCCTCCCTCCTCTGCTCCTCTCAAACTCAAAGCCTCTCAAAGCCCAATTAAGATCAATTAACGCCCATTTACCAAATGGCTAAGTTTTCTGCTGTCTGTGTATATCTCCTGTTTGCCCTTGTAATGACCGGCATCTCGACGGCGATGGAGGCTCCTGCTCCGAGCCCAGTCTCTGCGGCCGCGGCTGTGTCCTCTCCATTTGCTGTTGCTATCATCTCCTTCGTGGTTGCGCTCATGATCTTTTTGGTTCATAATTGAAGAAATTTTGGTTGATTTGGTCAGATTGATTGATGTTGGGATGTAAATGAGAAATATGATAGTTCATATATATGTTGGGTTTACTTTCTCTTTGTCATGTTTGTTGGGCTAATGTGTGATGAAGTTCTATTGTATATCTCTCAATTGCTCATTCTCTAATCTGTTTGATTTTCTGAATTTAAGACTTCTCTTGTAAATTGTCATTTTTTTGTATTGTATTATTCATATTTTTTGCTAAAACTCAAAAGGTTTGATGATGTTCAAGGATTATAATTCCATATTTTTCTCATGTGTTCAGCAAATGTCTTTTTGATAGAGTAAACAAATATTAAGTATTCAAATGTCTTTTTGATAGAGTAAACAAATATTAAGTATTACGGAGCAAATCAAGGTATCCATAATTATAATCGATAAATTCATCAAACAAAAATTTCTAAAATATGAAAATAGAGATTGAAACAAAATTTCTATTATATCAAAATGGAGACGGTCAACGTAATTGCTCTGTGAAAAATAAAAAGTTGTAATTTATAATTGTTACGTAATTGCTCTGTGAAAAATAAAAAGTTGTAATTTATAATTGTTGGGGTTCTTTTCTGAGAAAAAGGCCTCTCCCGTATGCTACTTTGAGTGAAAAGCAGCAATGTATTCTTTAGGGCCCGTTTGGATGAGGTATTTTGCTCCGAAAATTAGGAGGAAAGCTGCCAAAATGATAGCTTTCCCCCAAAATCGGCAATTTTGGAGGAAAGCTGCCATTTTGACAATTTTCCTCCTAATTTTCGAAACAAAATATCACATCCAAACATGCCCTTAGTAAAAGGCAAAAGAATAGTTCGCTCTGAGCTCGCCAACCGGCTGCGTACGGTTGTAGGATCAAACTCAAAGAATTATAAAACCCACGGCGTCCGCAGAGTCCTGTATCCCAACCGATGTGGGACTAAAACTTAGTTTTGGTAAATAACGAACAAATTCTCTCCTCAAACCCAATTATTTTCAAAACTAGCTCTCTATGCATATTAGCATTAGAGCCCAGCCCAACCAGCCCAATAAATTACAGGCTTAGCCCAATCTCATATCACGAAAGAACGAGTTGAGCTTCCTTACTCTCTTCCTCTTCCAATGAGGAAGAGCACAAACTCCAAATTTAGGGTTAGCAAATTCCTCAAAAAATGGCGGGACGAAGAGAAGGAGAGCAAACAAAGGCGACGGCATCATCATCGACACCAACATCAAAAGCTTCGTCGACGGCGAGCAAGAGGATGACGGAATCGCTGGGATGGCTGACGGAGTCGACGTTGATGCCGAAGAAGCACAAGGCCATCGAGGGCGTCGGCGCCGCCTCGATCCTCGAGCTCAAGGCGCAGCTCTATCGATCACAGGAACAAGCTCGAAAGGATAAAGCTACCAATCCCAGTTCCCAAGAATTTCACCGCGCCAAGAAGAAGATCCTGCCCTCTGATGTATTGTCGACGAAGAACTCCGGCGTCGATTCCCGCGCTCGAAAGTATGTAGTTTTGTTCTGATTTTATTCTCATCAATCCCATTGTCGGCTAGTTTTGTTTCCTTTGGGTAGGTTGTTAGGCTAGGGTTTCAAAATTTATGCCTGAACCCCAATAAAAACCATGGCATAATACGGAGAGCCATTGTTATGTTGAAGGAACTGAGGTTTATTTGGAATTTTAGGGCTTGTGTTCTGAGGTAGAGAATGTGTAAGGAGGAGTGGGCTCAACTAAGTTAGAAGTGCCAATTTGGGAAGAAAGAAAATAGTATGTAATTTTTTCATGATGTTGTTATTGTCAATCCTATTGTTGGCTGAGTTAGTGCAATTTGCATGGGTTATTAGGTCTAAGGTTTCAAAACTTATCTGAACCCTAGTAAAGCAAGGCATAATACAACTTGACAAAGGGTATTTGAAACTGAGGATGTCAAGGGAGAAGATTGTCGCCATCAGATGATGCGGATAAATAAGTCGAAGGAACAAAGCTCCGAATGGCATATTAGCGCAAGGTCTGATGATTGTAGTGTATGAAAAAGTGCAATGAATGGAGGGAGAAATGCTAATTTGGAGAAGATAAAATTTTGGATGTAATTGTTGATCTACAAGGAAATTTTGACTAGTTGCAGTCAGGGCTAAGCTCAATGTTTACGTAATATGACCATTGTGCATGTGTAGTACTTTGCAAGTCCCCAACACTTTATATATACATTTTAAATCTGTTGTGCCTTTATGCATATGCTTCATAAGCTTCAAGTCAGGACATCTACTTAATATCAAACTCAATTCGTGTGTTAATGCTGGGATTGCAACTCTATTTTGATCATAAATTTTTTTATTAGGTTACTACCATATTGGTGGAGAATGGATCAAGTGGTATAAGTTGGTTGGAGAGTGGTAATTGGTGGAAATAGTGGTGTCAAAGTTAATTGGTGTGGCAGTGATGGGTCCTTGTTCGTCATAATGTGTAGCAAGTTGCCAAGTTCGCTTTAGGTGGTAAATTGGGTCCATAAATTATAGTTATCTTGTGGGCAGAAGGTGGATTTTGCTAAGTTTGATTCAATCATTCAAGCAACCTGACTTACAACAGAGACTTAGTTCTATATAAATTGTTGTCACGGTCTGCTGTATTGAATTTGGTGCTGCACATCGCTTAATATCTTTGCTTTATATTGCATATTGTGACCATGACTTTCAGTACATCTCAATCATGATATCCATATAATTAATCATGGTATATTGGCTATGATATGTCTATATTTCATCCTTTTGCTTCCTTTGAGAAGATACACATATCTTTAATCAATTAACTAAATTAGGTTTTACCCACCGCGACTGACTTGGACGGTTGGAAGGTTCCAATATGGCTCCCACGGTCTTGGGTAATATAATTAAATAAAAAAATGCTTTTCAATTGTTGAGGTGGATAATTCTTGTTCTCTGCCTCTCACATCCTAATCAGCTGTCTACAATAGTTTTTTTTTTGTTTGTTAAGGTGAAAATCATCACAAGTTTTCCTATGACTTTGCTAGATGAGTAAGGTCAATTTTGGTAGTGGTCATATGCACTGTGCCAATCTGTTCAAGAGAACAAAGGAATCTGTAGCTCTCTGAAGGCAGTAAGTTCAAATTTACTTTGTCAACTACTAGTCAGCTTCATACATGACTTGGGTACGTCGATTACTTTAGATGAGTATCAACATTTGTGCATGTGGTGCCTCTCTGTGTTGTCTTCAGGATCCCAGTTACCGTATAATAGTCATTCCAACTACAACCATATCGTGTATTATCACAATTTTCCTTTGCTGATAAACTTGTATTACTGTTGCTTATCCTATTTAGTAGATTTACAGGACAAGATTCTGGAAATGTTGGCAAGTTCTAGAAGGACATAGTCTAATTCTGAATCATGACGTGTCCTTGTGGGTAATTGGGGGATTTAAGAACTATTAGCTGAACAAGTTGTTGGGGATATACATCTGCCCACATTATGGTTTATGAAGGTTAATCTCAAGCCCTCTAGCATCATTGAGACCTGAATTCTGTGATAGTATTGGCATGTTATTTCTGCAGTAATCATCTGTTGATTTGTTCAGCTGTCTGTATTCAAATGAGGAATTTCAGCCATGAGGATGCTTTGAACTTCATTTTCATATGTTATGTACACCTTTATCAAAGTCTTAGTTGATTATTTGGTTGCACAATATTCACGCAAATTTTTTTCCTTTTGATGAATCCAGAGATAAGTTGGAGCTGAAAGCTGAAACCGATGGTTCAAAAAGTTATGCAGCTTTGGAAAAGAAGGCTGAATTATATGAAAAACTAGCTAGAGGTGAGCTTCCTGATGAGGAAGAAAAAGAAAAATACTGTGTGGACTTTTTCCGCAAAAGCATTACGCAGGATGAACAAGAAAAGCCAGAAATCCAAGATACTGAAGATGCCAAAGAAAATCAAAACGCTGAAACTGAAGATAACGATTTGCTAAATTCAAAATTATTAAGACCTGGAAGAACAGGTCTAACACTAGACAGTGATGAGCATAAGCGATTTGTGAGGTATGCTCCTTTCTTCTTCGGGTTATTCATTTGAGAATCTATGTTGGATAAATTTCATAAAGACCTCTTAATCTTCGGCGGTCTTGCACAGTAACGCGAAATCATATAAATCACGAAAACGTGTGAACTTTCAAAACTATACTAAACCCCATGGAATTATTGGATTTTTTCATAAACGGGGTGGAGTAAAATTCTAAAGCACTTCCCTTTTTAAAAACTTTTAACTATCATTGGGGTATTTAGAAATTATATTTAGTAGATAGGATAAAAAGTTGAAAAGTTTCACGTGAAGAACCATAACAAGTTAAAGTAACGGCTGTGTCAGTCATGGTACTTAGTGAGACAAATTCAGGGATTTTTCAATGATTTATGAAGTACAAGAGGATTATGTGCAGAACCACACAATTAAAAAAAAACAATTTACCCATGTATATATTATATGAATAATCTGAAGGAAATCAATTTTTTTAATCATTCAGGGAAGTCCATGAAGAGGTTAACCAGGCACGGCATGAGGTTACAACAGGAAAGTTGCGTCGTCAAGAGCAAGAGGCTGCTCGCAGGGAGAAACTAAAGCAAGCCTATCTTAGAAAACGGCTTGAGAAGCTGCTCGCTTCCAAAAAAGAAGCAGATGCTGCTAGCTCCGAGGCTCTTGGGGTTTAAATTGATTGAGCTTACGCGCTTCTGTAATTTATATGCTGGGTGCTTTGGTTGAGAATTTGTTAGGCCTTAAGGATGTACATTGTAGCTTTCTTGAAGCAGTAAGGTTTCCAAGAGAAGTAATTGTGCATAAGGAGCCAAAGCACAGTGATTTCTAAATTTGTTTTGTTCAGATTTAATGACCACCTGGGATTGTGTTTTGTACAGTTTGGAGCATCCTTTGGACCTTTGATATCTGAATGACTCTTGAGATTAGAAGGTGTTGTGTATGCTTACGCTATGACTTTCTGAATGCTCCGCGAATTATGTCTACTTTTTTTATACAGGAAAAATGTTTCTCTTTGTAATACTGATTATGACAACATCTTGCAATACTTATTATGACGGAGGTTGGAATTTTTCTTCTTTTTAATGAATTAGGTGCGTGTTAGCTATACTTTACCCCCTGCTATCCTCTATCTAAATCCCCTTTTTAATATTCAATGGATATAATATAGCATTCTATTTGTACATTTGAAATTGAAAAATAGTCTTCCTATTTGAATAATATACTAAGTAGACATTGAGCTCAAATGAAACCAAATCATAGTATGGTCATTTATATAAATTTTTTTTTTAAGGAAAATGAAAGATTAAAGTCGAAGATAGTTGCAATGCTGCATAGTATGGGTAGACATGGACCCGCGGATCAAAAAAAAGGGGTTCCCCCCTAGAAACCACCTTAACGGTAGGACACTTATATGGAAAACCACTTTTATTTTCAATTTATACAAAAATCACCTTTAAAGTAGGTTTTGCTGCAATCAATCACCTCATAGTTAGATTTTCACTTAAAAATAAAAAATAAGCTTAAAAAATTTAAGTTCAGGATACGTGAGTTGTATCTGAACAAAACCTAAACACTAAAAAAACGAGTCATGTACGTTAAATGTGAGTTTTTAAAGGTAATTTTGGGTTTAAGTGTAGAATTTAGCTAGGAGATAATTGATTCAACAAAAATTAGTTTTAGAAATAGTTTATATATAAATTAAAAATAAAAGATGGTTTCTGTATTATCACCCCATTTCTAAGTTGGTTTCTAGGGGAGTAAAAGAGGAGAAGAAAAAAAAAAGTAGACATGGTTGCCGTCCAGCCTCTCTTGGACCAACTACATTAGGGCCCGGCCCAACTACAACAGAAGAATCAGACGTCTGTACATACATGACAAGCCGAAGTCAAAGCAACCTCAGCCCAAGGATTCTCAAATCCCAGGGACCAAGCTCCCTGCTCTCTAAAAACCTAGTCCTGCTTCATCAACAACAATGGCATCCCAAGATCACCACCATCATCGACATCACGATCACACCCATGAGTAACCCAACCCGGCCCTTAACTCACAGTCTCCTTCTAAAAACCTTTGCTAAAATTTCCTCTTTATTTTTATTTTCTGGTGTTTGGAATTGAACAGAGGAGATCATCACCATCATGGGCATGGCTCATCCTCATTTGTGGGCCCCGACGGTAGGGTTTACCACTCTCACGACGGCCTGGCCCCACACTCCCACGAGCCCATCTACTCACCGGGCAGCTTCCCGTCCCGGGCCCAAGCTATCCCTTCTAGAGACTTCCGTGAGCGGGCCTTCACCGTCGGCATCGGCGGCCCGGTCGGCACTGGGTATTATGCACTTACCCCCTTGTCATTCTTTTTATTTGGTTCATAATATAATTTACTAGTTGCAATAATTCCTGCAGGAAGACCGCTCTGATGCTGGCGTTGTGCCGGTTCTTGCGAGATAAGTACAGTCTCGCGGCGGTAGGGATATGGCTTTTTCTGAGAAGTTTGCATCTTTTTATTGCTTAAAATTTGCATCTTTTGCTCTCTTTTTTTTTTTTTTTTTTGAAGTTTATGTTAGAGAACAAAAAGAAGAACTTTAGGTGTGGTTATGAGTTGAATTAACTGCAAATAGTGTGGCTTGGTAATTATTTTGTCTTGGAATTCTTGGTTCAGTAAGCTAGTAAGTTTTCGTAGGCAGAAGAGGGCGCACTTTTGCTCGGGTTTAAGTAAAAGTAAGATGTTTGTGAGCTGTTATATAGTTTTTGAGCCTTTTCCCTCTGTGGCCACTCAATGTATTGGTGATTTGACATGGATTCAGGTCCTCTCCCCTGACAAAAAGTAGTGAAGAGACGACTACTATAAACGGTTGATTGTAGTGGAGAGAATGACTACTATATCATAACCGTTGATTGGTTTGCTGGGCGGTTGTGATTTTTCCTTTCAGTGATGATGAGTGCTAGATTTGGAATGAAGCACAACCACTCACTAAACATATTAACGGCGTTAATTAAAGTAGTGGTCTCTCCACTACTTTTTTTGGTAGTGGAGAGGATCTGAATCCATTTGACATGGGCTAATCTTCAACAAATGAGGATTATATAAGTTTAGTCAGAGACTAGCTAATAGGTTACTGAATTTAGAGATGCTAAGGGCATAGGAATTATATGAATTTAACTCATATTCTACAACGGTTTGAAACAGCTGTATGAAAACTTACTCTCATAAGATATTAAGCTTGGAAGTGATGGTTGAACTATTTCTTGCAAATGTTTATGTAAACCGGGCTTAAAATTGTCGGAGCACCTATTTATGATGAACACATAAGAAATCTAAGGTAACTTATTTCTTTTTATTTTTTATATTTTTTTCTTTAATTGCTGTTGGTCTAGGATATCAATCCCTTAATGCTCAAAAGAGAGTTTTCTGTTTGATGAAAATTCTTATGAATCAGGTAACAAATGACATATTTACGAAGGAGGATGGTGAATTCTTAGTGAAGCATGGAGCACTTCCTGAAGAAAGAATCCGTGCTGTTGAAACAGGAGGGTGTCCACATGCAGCTATACGTGAAGATATAAGTATTAACCTGGGTCCTCTTGAAGAGCTGTCTAACTTGTACAAAGCAGATCTACTGCTTTGTGAATCTGGAGGAGGTAATTTCTTCTAACCAGTATGAATATCTAAAAAATTGTTTGACTTGGGAATGGGTGGTTAAACGCAGGGATGTTTTTAGAGTTGAACTTTGAAAATGATACATTAGTAAATTACTGACAAGTATGCTATTAGCATCGGAAGACCAGGGAAAATAACACAAACTTCAATTTGGTTGTTTATATCTTTTAAATAGAAGAGGTTGTTGGTCATCTCACATTATTGATCTTTTATCTGAGTGGAGCGAAATGAAACACATAATTGAACCATTTTGCATTTTGAAACCTTGACTGTGAATTTTGAGATGGTAATTTTTTGTATGAGCAAAACATGATACTACGTATGGAATGGGAACTGGGCTACCCTGTTCTGAAACTAGAAATGTATCTTGTCTCAGTTGAACTATTTAATTTGAGAAAAAAATTAGTTCAGATCCAAAATAAAAGATGTCCAAGGTGTTGAAGAGTGTTGTCATGAATACTCACACAGGCTCTCTTCTGAGTTGGTTCTCCATGTGAAAAATGGGAAAGGTGCAGCTATCAATTTCTTAGTCATAGTAGTAAGGCCGTATTCATACCTCACATAAGGGATGGATGAAGGCCGAATAATTGAAGCAATGTAAAGCAGGATGGTACAGTATTGGGAAGCAAGAAATAGATAGGGTAAACTTTACTTATCTTCCTCATGTTGTAAATGAGGAGTACATGACCATACATGAGGATGGGATTGAAGAGAACATAAATCCTTGGTGGACGTTACAGTGTTGGTTCTTATTTATAGAAGATGTGGAAGACCTTGCAAGTATAAGTCTTATGGTTGTTTTGAAGGTTAGTGGACTTCTTTTCTATAAGAAGATAGACCTCAGTGTAGAAAAGGCCACGCCTTCCCTGACCATTTGCATCCTGTTCTGTATTGATAAGAAACTTTTGGTCATTATCTAATAACCATTGGTAGCCAAATTAATTTGGATATGGCCCTTGTATTTCCCCCTTAGCGTGTGATGATTCAATCAATATGTCAACTTCATACTTGGCTGACTTACATGAAATCAGTATGGTCAACTGTTCCAATTTTCCCTTATACTTCATGTGAAATTATTTTTCTTTTCTCTTTCCATCTTTGTTTAGTGAACTTCTTCAATATTACAAATCTTTTCATTGCAAGGAAGTTTGCTGTTCTCAGAAACATAGGTTGCATTTATAGCTTGTTGGAACACTAGATGCTAACACCATATTGTCATATTCTTGTTTATGCAGATAACTTAGCTGCTAATTTCAGCAGAGAGTTGGCAGATTATATAATTTACATAATTGATGTTTCTGGTGGCGACAAAATACCAAGAAAAGGAGGTCCTGGAATTACCCAAGCAGATCTCCTGGTTCGCAATATTTTACTGTTAATTCTCCTCATTTGTCTTCCTCCAAAGATACATAATTTATAGGAATATTCTCTTAGTTTATCTTAAATTACTTTCTTGCGTTTAGGTAATAAATAAGACAGACCTGGCACCAGCTGTTGGAGCTGACTTGGCTGTCATGGAACGTGATGCTCTTCGGATGCGGGATGGAGGGCCTTTTGTGTTTGCTCAGGTTTGTTGGAGTATTCTACAGTTCTACTTCTAGTGTGTTTCTTTTTTTGGCAATTTTAATTCCCCATTTGCAGAATAACTTAGAGTCAGGAGAGAGTATATTTTTGTTATTGTTATCCCTAGACAAGATTCAACTCAATGCTGTTATTCAACAACTTGTGATATCTGTTGTAGGCATCATGGTTGGTTGTTGAATACAGAGCAAAGAATGTTCTCTCTTGTTCTATCCAGCTTATACAGATTAATCTTTAATTTTGAGCCAAAGAAGTGTTTGTCCTGTTGTTTTTCTCGGATTTGAAACTTCTGTGTGGAAAACGTAGTTTAATCTGTTTGAAGAAGTAGGGGGTTACTAAAAGGATTATCTTCTGTATTTATTCATCTGGTTTTTGGATGGAAAAGTTTTAAATGATGTTGAGGATGATTTGTGGAGCTAAATTTAAAACATTAACAACCTATAGCCAAATGTCGGCAACCATCTTTATTTACTGGTTATTTTCACCCACAAGCGCTTTCTTCTTTCTCTTGTTAGGCTAACCTTTATGTCTTTCCAATTTTCTCCCTTAAATTTAAACATAACCTGTATAGTTTCGAACCTGATTATGATTTCCCATTTCTTTTATTTTATGTTGTAACTAAGCATCTTTTCAGGGGTTTGGGTATATTTTCTTAGCATCTAGAAACTTACCCTTCTTGTTGGTTTTTGCTGATTGTGGTCAGTTGGTTTCTTTTATCTTAAAACTTTTTCCTCCTCCGATGAGTGAGACTTTATTCCAAGTCCAATATCATCACGAATATATTTAGCAGGGAGGTTTGCTTGTCAAGTTAAAAAAGTAAACATAACTTTCAATGTTTTGGGAACTTTGGGCCCAAATAAAATATTTTTAAAGAGTAGAGCAATACCTTGACCATCTCGCCTTCTAGCTACTTTCATGTCTACTGAAGGGATAAAACAGGTAGGGGGTTAGACAAATTCATCAATGATGCTGCGCAAGAGGGTTCACTGATATTTGTCTCTCGGGTAGACTTGGTGTTAAATGTGAGTATGCAAACCTTTAACCGAATAGAAAGGTTTCTCCAACTTTTCGATGTGCAATTCTTTAGTGTTGCTTCCAATTTTACACTTCCAACTTGACGAATGGGAACCTCCAATAAATGCAGCATATACTTATGACTGTCCGTCTTTGCACAATAAGTCTGGTTCCTCTTTTTATACACATTCTAATCAAGTTCGCTGAGATTAA